CTTCCTCCCCCCCCCTCCTCCACAAAAGAACGTTTCCTCACCTGCGGTCTGCAATATCTGGGTCACCAGCAGGCGCAGAGTCCCAGGGCAAGAGCCCTTAAGCTGACACCTCTGGTGAGCCGATCCCTTTCAAGCCACTGCAGTGAATTACCTGCCGGGCTCCCCCCTTCCTTGAGATCCTGGACAGAGGAGCCTTTTCTCTTAGCCAGGAGATCAGGTCAGCTTTGGGAACCAGAGAGGACATGATCCCCATTTGTCCAGCATGGCCTTCCTAAGCAGAACTCTCTGGTGTAGATCTAGCAAGGCCCATTCAGCCGTGGAGAATCAGCGTTGGAAGGGACCTCCGGGGTCATCTTGTCCAACCCCCCGCACAGTGCAGGAAATTCACAAATACCTCCCCCTCAACGAACCCGCGGTGACCCCTGTTCCATGCCTGGAAGATGATAAAAATCCTCCAGGATCTCCAGGCCAGTTTGGTTTGCCTCCTGACCCCGAAGGGGCGATCAGCATTTCCCTGGGTGTGAAGGAAAGGGCCACAAGAACAAAGCACTGTGACCCCAAAGGTCACTGCCTCCTGTGGCTGCTTGCAAGGGGCTCTGCCCCAAACAGAGGATAATCCAGAGTGTGGCACCGATGCCGCTCTAGTGCGGAGGATGGCGCTGGCGCTGCTTGCCGTTTTTGTGCATGCGGTGTCATTTGCAAGCCCGTGTGGCAGGGAGGGCCTCGCGGAGGGGTGTGGGATAGCTTGTGTGGGGATTCCAGAAAGCACCCCCCCCCCAAGGACCAACTGCCCTAGGCCAAGTTCTGGCAAGGCTCTGTGACCTCAGAGCAGGTCAGCCAATGGCATCCAGAGTCACTAGGGAAAAATCGGTTCTGCTTTGAGGAAGGGGCAAGGGAAGGGAGGGCGAGGGGTGCAGGGGGAGATCCCTGGCCAGGGCTGCCCCCTTGCGTGGCTGGGGCTTGCCGTAGCCTTTGGGAATGTCACTCTCTGCCTCAGTCGGGCAGTCAAAGGAGGCTCTTTTGCCTTTCATGTCCTCGTAGAGATCTCTTACCTCCTTATTTCTAGACTCCTTCATTACCAGGTTATTTCCAGCTCAGTAAGTGGGAAACAACCTAAGAGGCGACTCTACACATGGACATCACCAGATGGGCAACACCGCAATCAGATTGACTATATAATTTGCAGTCAAAGACGGAGAAGCTCTATCCAGTCAGTAAAAACAAGACCTGGAGCTGACTGTGGTTCAGATCATGAGCTACTCATTGCAAAATTCAGACTTAAACTGAAGAAAATCAGGAAAACCACGAGGCCATTCAGGTTTAACCTAGATCGCATCCCTGATGAATATACAGTAGAGGTGAAGAATAGATTCAAGGGTCTGGATTTGATAGATAGAGTGCCTGAAGAACTATGGACAGAGGTTCGTGACATTGTACAGGAAGCAGCAATCACCACCATCCCAAAGAAAAAGAAATGCAAGAAAGCAAAGTGGCTTTCTGATGAGGCTTTACAAATAGCAGAGGAAAGAAGGAAAGGCAAAGGCGAAAAGGAAAGATTTACCCAACTGAATGCAGATTTCCAGAGAACAGCAAGAAGAGATAAGGAGGCCTTCCTGAATGAACAGTGCAAAGTAATAGAAGAAAACAATAGAATGGGAAGGACTAGAGA